GATCTTTGGTCATTACAAATAGTGAAGTTTCCCCAGAAAACACTCACAAACCAATAAATGTAACAGACAACAACAACAAAAAAAAATGAAATCAAATTATGTTTCTCATTACCATTAAAGTTAACATCATCACACACCCTGAAACAAAGAGCTTGGGCTTAGTCGGCTGTGATTGGTCAGAGGTCTGAGGTCAGACAAATCACACTTGACATGCCACTGCTGTCTTTTATTAACTGTGATCCTGGGAGAGCTATGTCACCCTAATATGGGTATTGCCATGATCAAATATCATATGCACCTGGTATAAATTTGTTGCTAAGTAAGTGAGACTTGTGAGTAGAAGCATACCCTCAGTGGCTCTATTTCACTTAAAAAAAAAACTTTACAAAAAGAAATGTTAAGTCAGACTTTTGGAGGATTGAGCATGACATTTCCAACATGAATCTTCAATCTGAGAATAAGGGGAGGGAGACAAACTCCATCTGGGACTGGTTGAACAGCAGGTGAATGGTGCCACTAGCTGTTTCATGCCATCAGAGCATATTTGGCTTTGTGTGGTCACTGCTGTTTGGCTGTTCTGACGCATTAGAGTAATGGAATAATGTGTTTTTTCCTTCCTTAGGACTTGGCTCTCAGCAGCTCCTGGCCCACACTGCTCCCCCTTTGTACTCTTATCTGTAGTTTAATTTTCCTTGCATGCAAACTCTGTGCCCAGGCTAATTCTTGATTTGTCGTGTGTGTGTGTGTGTGTGTGTGTGTGTGTGTGTGTGTGTGTGTGTTCACACATGCATGTGTGTACCCACTGTGGTGAGTACATTGAAATCTGTACATATATGTGGATATGAATGTCCTAGAGGATGCTACTGCATGCCTCATGTCTTTTCTCTGTGACAAATCAAAGTGGGTGAAGTTAGAGACAGTTCAAGAATGAGCCTCATTCCTTAGAGCTGTATCAGTACAACCAAAATCCAAAATCCGAGATGAGTACTCAAGAAAGCAAGATGGGCTGGCCACTGTTGGCCTGGGTATCAGACTAGGCCTTTCATGCTTTTTAGCATTCTTTTCCAGAAGGCCAAGGGGGAATTTTGAAGATGAATCACAGGAAGTGGATTGGGGACTTGGCCTTTTGGGTTCCCAGTTGTCTGGAGCTCCTCAGCTTCATCTTTACCTTCTCTTAGTCTGTGATCAACTGCAATGACATGGAGAGCATGTCCACTGTCACTTACATCATCATCAGGCCCATTTCTCTCTCTCCCTACTTCTCTGTTCAATGCACACACTTACTTCCAGGGTACCTGTTGTATACTTTGGTCAGGTTTGCCTTAGCAACAGTTCTTTGTTCCAGCTTGTACCTGGGCAGCTGGTGGAACCACTGGGGTTCAGGCTGATGTTGAATAAGAATTCAGAGCTCAATGTGAGTGTTGTGGAATATAAAGTGGTTACTGCAGGTTTGGGGTTGTGGTCACTAACCTGACCTTCCCCAGTTGACAGTCCCTGTGGATTATGGGAGACATTTTCCTCAAGAAACATTATTTTAGGACATGGCCAACAATGAGAAGTGGTGGTGGGGCTTTGTCTCCTCTGCCCAGATTAGCTAGAATTTTCTTTCCATCTTTCTCTGCAGGGCTGTAGGGTCCCCCTGGTGTTTCTGTGGGCCAACAGCACCATTTTTATGGTCTTGAGGCCTTCTGATCACCAGAATTTTACTTTCTACAACTAATAGGGAAACTCAAAACATCTTTAGTGTTCTTTCCAAAATCGTGTGTGCCTTGATTTTAGTGGTTTATTCTAAGCAAGAATGTTGTAGCTAGAGTTTTCCTGCCTTGCCCACAGTCAGGACAAATCTCTGTCACCCATCAGTCCCACAGCCGCTCAGACCCAACCAAGTAAACACAGAGACTTATATTGCTTACAAACTGTATGACCGTGGCAGGCTTCTTGCTAACTGTTCTTATAGCTTAAATTAATCCATTTCCATAAATCTATACCTTGCCATGTGGCTCTTGGCTTACCGGCATCTTCACATGCTGCTTGTCATGGTGGCGGCTGGCAGTGACTCCCTCTGCCTTCCTGTTTTCTCTGTTCTCCTCTCTGTTAGTCCTGCCTATACTTCCTGCCTGGCCACTGGCCAATCAGTGTTTTATTTATTGACCAATCAGAGCAATTTGACCTACAGACCATCCCACAGCAAAATGTAGCAATGGCTACTTTAGAGGCTCTGTTGACTCATTAATGGGAGAGAGAAGGAAAGGCATTTGAAGGTGTAAGTGCCCCACAGATGTGACAGGTGACAGGCACTGTGTACTTTGTGGTGAAATCTGGCTTTAGGCCACCAATTCCTCTAGAACTCTCACCCCTGACATTATTTTTCTCTTCACACTTAGGAAATAATGTGAAGCCAAGAAACCACTTAAGAATGACAGAAAAGCAAAAGACAAGATGAAGCAGAACAAAGCCCTAGGCAGCAGGTCAAACAGATGCTCTGAAGGACAAATCTCATGAGAAGCACCTTCCTTTTTGAGAGGAAACACCCACTTTTAATGAGTCTAAATGTGCCTGCAGTTCTTGGTGTAGGGTTGAGACCTTCTGGGCTTTCCCATACATACTTTGGTGTGCCAATTATTGTTGTCCTTGTTCAGCTCATGTTTAAGCAGTCTTGTTGACGAGACTTTATGGATGCAGCCTCTGAGATTACAAGGAGAGGAGAGGAGACGAGAGGAGACGAGAGGAGAGGAGAGAGAGAAAGAGAAGAGAGAGAAAGAGGAGAAAGAGAAAGAGGAGAGAGAGAAAGAGGAGAGAGGAGAAAGGAGAGAGGAGAGAGAGAGAAAGAGAGAGAGAGAGAGAGAGGAGAGGAGAGGAGAGAGAGAGGAGAGAGAGAGGAGAGAGAGAGAGAGAGACTCAGAGCAAGCTCCCTGATCCTCTGGCTCTTAGAATATTTCTGCCTTCTCTTCCACAATGTCTCCTGGGCATAGGGATGTTTTGAAGATATATCCCTTGGGACTGGGCTCCACAACTGTGTTTGGATTGATTGTGGATTTCTGTAATGGTCTGGACTTTTTCAAAGAGAAGTTTTCTTGATGAGGGATGAGAATTACACTTATCTGTTGTTGTAAGTACAAATATATAACCTTAATCTTAATTTACATGGGAAGGGACTGAGGCAGGGAAGTGTGATCATATAGTTAGGGTAAAAGCAGATCTAGATTCACTCTGTAATAAATTTTTTTTTTTCACATATAGCAGCTAATCAACTCAACTACATCACAGGGGAATGCAAACCAGAAACAAACCATGGTTTGGGGCCCCAGCAAATTTTGTTCAGGTTCCACTCTTGAGCATCTTTCCTGCTTGATGGAGCCCAGTAGTTGACAGTTGGCCATTGGAGGTGGGTTCCTTCAATGTAGAGAGCTGTGTTCAGGAAACCAACTATAGGCATTCCCCAGAAAACTTTAAATTTTCTATAGTGGAGAGTTAACATGAACACTATGTAACTAAAAGATTTGTCCAGGTAAAAGATGCAAAACATTCCCAGATAGCTTGTAGGAGTGAGAATGGATGTAGCTACATGTTTCCTGTTGTCATTTTCTGGGTCCCATCTCCTCACACACAATGGAGCTGATCAGTTGACCTCACTAAATTGAGTTATATATGTTTGGCATCATTCCTTTTTAAGTATAAGTATATTTATTAATTCTTTGAGAATTTCTTACCATATTTTGATTTTATTTACCCCCAACCCCTCACTTAACTTCCCCTCAGGCCCACCTCCTCCTTACTCTTCAAAACTTCTGCTCTCTTCTTTTTAAAATTTAATAGCCCATCGACTCCAATTTCCTTTTTTCTTTAGTGTTGAGCTTCTCTTGTGGGAGAAATAGATTCCTCTTGCCAAGAGAAGTGGAGACACAGGTTTGCCCAAATCCACCTCAGTCCTCACCTCTTGCTCTGTCACTGCCACTGATTCAGTAGCATCTCTACTCATACTATGGCCTTTGACCTCAAGAGGTTACAGCAGAGATCTTCAGTTAAGAGACATAGCTTCTGGAAAGTTCTCTGATACACAGTTAAATACAAGTTACTATGAACTGTCTGAAATTTGTCAGCAGGTAAAAAATTTATCAGCCTGTTGGAAAAAATGGATGCAATTGGCAAAGCTAGAGTAAGAAAATTTTACTCCTGAGTCATAGAAGATAACAACAACAGAGACATCTCACAGCTTGTGGTCTTTCACCATAATTGTCGTTTGTGGAGGGTGTGTTCCTCACCTCTCATTAGCACTCTCACCACATTAAAGAAATGTTTCTCTTCCTGCCTCGTGCCCTTGTTAAGGGTAGAGAATAGGGCTGGAGGTTCATAGCTACGCAGGTAGGAGGAAAGAGCAGATAATTTAGAAGAAAACAACTCCAAGGTGAAAGAGGAGAAGACACAGAGACTCTTCGTGGTGGAGGTGACGCCAAGTTAGAACTTTACTGGGGGAAGTGCTTTTAACAACATCCCTAGAGGAGAATGCAGAAGGGCAGTTTTTGAAAATACTACCAATGTTTATTAATCAGAGCTCTTTAGATGTTCTTTAATATAAAGATATAAAGAAATAAATATTGAGTAATTCGTACTGAGTCATTGTTGGCTTGTGTAATATGTTTTCTAAATTAAAATTTCTAGCTAGCATACCAACAGACTGCACTGCCCTGCCTCTTACCGGTCCTTCTCCCTCCTGGAGTCCCTTTTCTATTCATAAATGGCCCCCTTCTACTTTCTTGGGCCCCCTTCTACTTTCTTGCCACATACATATGTTTCAAACTCTAGATTTGGGGTCAAATTTGATGGATGACAGGAGCCAGCAGAAACAAATGATCCATACATACCTTACGAGAGTCAAATCAGCAGCTTGGTTTGGAGAGGCTGAGTTCTGTGGAAGTGTGCTTATATACGCCAATCCTGTGGTTTTGACACCATGTGAATGAAGAAAAGAAATAAACACAGAGGACATGGCTGCTCCTAGGTATGCTGGAGGAGAAAGTTTATTGTAGATAAAAGGGAGAGAATAGCCAGAGGCAGGAACATCTGGGAGCATCCAGAGAGAACACAACCCTGAGTTGGACCATGCGAGGAGAGGGGTGAGGGGAGAGTGAAGAGCCAGACCAAGAGGCCAGGAGTGCAAAAGATAGATTAAAAAGGGGGCAGGTAACCAAAATGGCTGAATTATATAGGGAAGGACAGCCCAGTCCCTGGGCTGGAGAAGTTTAGGGTAGGGATTGGGATGTCTCAGCCAGGAGGGCCATGTAACAGGTAGGGACCCAGTAGCCAGGTCCTCTTTGATATGCTAAATAGGCATCTCAGCTAGCCATTTGTCCCAGGTCTGAGACCTAATATATACACAGATGTGCACTTTAAAGGTGGCTGCTGTGGATTCTTCTTTTTATTTACTTTTTGCTTTTTGAGTCAGGGTCTCTCTATACAGCCCTGGCTGTCCTGGAACTCACAATGTAGTCTAGGGTGCTATCTGCCTCTGCTTCCCAAGTGTTGGGTTTAAAGGTGAGTGCCACTGTGCCCAGCTGCTGTGAATTCTTATTTCATACTTCAAGACTCACTTGAAAATCTTCACTCAACGTCCTAAACACCTTCTTTCAGACTTCAGCTTAGGTATGTGCTGATTCCTAGAATATTCCCAATACTTGTCCCTCTGCCTGACATTAAGTAGGAACTTGGTATGCAGGCTAAACAGGTGATGTCATGGGTAATGGGACTTTTTTGGGTTCTTTGAGTTTTATGCCAGTTTAAGAAAGAACAGAACCAGGACATTTCCATTTCTATACCCGAGAACTGATAAAGTTTGAAAGAACTCCCCAAACATAAATGTTTTAACCTGAATTTATTTTCTATGTCTTGTGGGTTCAAATCCTACCTAAGCCCTTGACATATATGGGCTAGTGGCAAGGCTAGTGGTAGAACATTCAAGACTGATGCCTAAGAATTGGAGGTAGTGGTTAAGGGATACCTGAGTATTTCTCAACATTGAAACTACCTGGTTGGACATCCAACAGGGACCATTAGACCACAAACAAAGAGACAGAGTAGGAACATTCTAGAACAGTCTTTATGTTTCATAGGGTGACTGTGAGACCCTTGCCCCTCCCTGGATGCCGAATTGGCCAACAAGAGACCCCAGGAACACAGAAGTACAGGAGCAGTTCTGTCCTCAGGTCTGGAGATTCTGTGGTCAGGAAATCACGTGAAGACAGTGCCCACTTCTCATTTGTAATACAGGCTAAAGTAGGCCACACGGTTCCGATGCTTTCTAAAGTCCTTGTCTGTGGAGAGCTGCAATAAAAGAAGATTGACTGGCTCAGTATCCCAGCAGGAATCCTTTACTTCTGATCTTCCTGACTATGTGAAATAGAACTTCACATATTAACCCTGTGATCCAGGTAAAGCCCAACCCAAGAGTAATTGAGGTGTAATGATTCGTGATAACTGAAAACATACATGATAACATACTTTGGTGTTCATCATGCTAGCAATTATTGGCTACTTGGAAATTTTTGAGTAGTTGGTCAGCATCTTGAAGACAAGGATTGTATGTTTAACTATATGTTATCCATAGGTCTTAACACATATATCCATATATTAGGCATTTAACAAATACTTATGGATTTAATAATAAATTCCACTAGGAAAAAACCATGAATCTAGAATTATTATAGCAAACCCATACTAAGTATATATTCTATGTACTGTATTAAATGGCTTTCCATATTATATGTTATTAATCTTTACCACAATGCCAGATAAACTGGATTATTAAATTCATTTTAAAGATAAGAAAATTGATACATAGAAAAAGGCCTAAAGGTCACACAGAAAGGCAATGCTGGATTCCTATTTGAAGACAGGTAGTACTTTCCTGTTTTTGCTCTTACTTAAAATGCTCTCAAATTCTCCAGTGGTCTAACACATGGGATATGTCAGAAAGAACAATACATCAGGAGTTATAGATGTGGATTGCAGCCACCCAGTCACCTAATCATTACTATTCTCAGCATCTTCTTATGTTATATAGGATATTTTCCCATGTATACCCTAAGGAATTATCAAGAGCAGCTAATTCCTTATGTAAGGATCAAATAAAATATGATATTTGGCCAGTCATAATTATCTATAAAAAGCTAATGCAGACATATGACTCTTCAAAAAGATTCTAACATTGACATACGCACAAAATATAATAACTTCAGGGGACCATGATCTTGTCAAAGTTCCCTTACAGACTTAGGTTTAAGAACAAATGATAATATAGGATAGCATTGTATAGAATGGTATGTTAACGACCAATCTTATTACCTCAGCCTTTAGAGTTCTTTTCTCTAGACATGGAATCTGACACCAGTCTGGAGATCCAAATTTCATTGGCCAAACAACTTTTGGGGGTGACTTCTTCTCTGGATTGTATGTACCAGGTCTAGAAATAAACATGCAAATATCATGGTTGATGACTGAACATGAGTTCCACCCTTCCTTGGAAAAAACAAGACTAAGTTTTCAATGTCAGGCAACGTGTGTTTCATTTCCCTGTTAGTGTATTTCTAATTAGGCTGCCAGTGTGAAAGAGAGCCTCAACATCCAGGTAGGGTTAAAGATAGACTCTAAAAGTAATTTTGTGGTGATACTTTATTTGTGCTTTAATAAATAAAGTTTGCCTGGAGATCAGAGGAAATAGCAAGCTATTTTAAAGTAAACAAAGAAGTCAGGCAGTGGTAGCACATGCTCTTAATTCTATCACTTAGCAGGCAGGGTCTCTCTGTGTGTTCAAGGCTACACTAGGGAACAGAGCCAAGCGTGATGACACATGCCTTTAATCCCATTTTCCAACCATAGAGTTCTGGAGGTCTGTATAGACAGACATAAAGTGACAGAGCTGGCCAGGAACAGGAAGTGGTATAGCTAGACTAGAGAGCAAATCAGATGGCAGAACAGCAAGGCAATAAAGGTGTGGGTAGACAAGAAGTAACTCTCATTTGGAAGCTGCTGAGTTGGTGAGGTAAGGTTTGGCTGGTGGCTTTCCCCTATTTCCCTGACCTTTCTCTAAGGCTTTCACCCCTATATTTTGGCTCTGTGTTTTTTATTTAATAAAACCGTTTAGATATTTAATCTACAGTATTTCTGTAATTTAGTGTCCTTAGCTGAAAGAGGATCCCAGGAGAGTGACTGATAAGGGATCCACCATGGTGATGGATTAGTACTGCCTACAATTTGAACTTGGTGAAATATATGCAGAGACAAACTTTCTGAAATCTAGGGACAAGCAAAGCAGAGTCAGTTGCTTTGGTTCTTAGACAACAATATTATTTTTGAATTGCCTGTGTTTGTAAAGCTGTTACAGATTCTATTGTGAGGAATGGTTTGTAGAGTAGATACAGAATCAAGACTAACTTCCTTAACACAAGCCTTGGAAAAAATTACCTTCATTCTCTGGTCCTTGGATTTCTCATCAGTTATGGAAAGATTTTTGACTATTTCCACTGCAGGTGCATATACCTGAGTGGGTTCATAGGCATCTAGACTAAATTCCATTGGCTTTCAATGCCTAGATACTCTAACCTGCCCTTCTGTGTTCACATTTCCTCTGTTCTCACTGTACTCCAGCCATGACCAAGTCTTCCTTTTCTATCTGATCCAATGTCTTCTCAACTTAAAGCACTTGCACTTGCTCTTCTTTCTGCCTGGGGTGCTCTGTCTCCACACAATAGATTAAAACCACTTCGCAGGACTGGCTTAATCTATTCATTCAGATCTCAGAACAAGTGGCATTTACTGAGTGTTTTCCTTAATAATCTCAGACAAGGTAGCCTCCAACTTATAACTCTGTCACATCGTAATCCTGTTCTAATGTCTTCATAGGACAACACCAGCTCCCCACATTTATGGTGTGCCCATGGTAGTCTTAGCTTACAGATACTGTCCTGAGGGAACTGCCACTTGGTTCCTTTCACATCCTGGACGTGTTACAATTTGACTAATAAATCCTTATTGCTGTTGGCATTTCCTTGAGTACTTAATTCTGATTTCTTTGGTTCTGACTTACTCTCCAAGAGATCAGGATCCCTGTTTGGTGGGTATACTGAATGATCTGTGGAAGATACAAAACCTTCTGACACGTTAGTAAATATCTATTGAATTAATAACCGGTTCTAACAATGATACAGTACTGGAGACCAGAGAAGTTAGAGGTTAAGTCTTTACAGATTTAGCTGGGAAAGTTTTGATGTAATTCCTGCTTTATGTGCTTCTTCCCTATGAAATGCACAGTAAAACAGGAGACATACCCAGGATAAGAATTGCCCTGAGCTTCACTCCTAAATCGAGGCATCAAGGCATTAAATGGTGCAAAGCTTTGTTTGGATTTTTCATTCCAAGTACAAACTTTCTGGTACATTCCTGGATATGGTGTCACATCCTGTAATCACTAAAAGGACTGGTGTGTTAGAGGCTGATAAAATATCATCTATATTATCACAAATTATTTAAGATAAAACATGACAATCATTTAATACTGCTTATAAATCAGCTACAGTTCAGTGTGTCAAAGGTGTAGAAATAGGCCCTATGTAGGCAAAACCCTAAATATGGATGTGGTTTAGCTATGTAAATATAATATATATATATATAGTATGGGTAAAGAATCAAAGGCAAGTTGGTACAGTTTACCACTGGGATATTTTTATAGTTAGATTGCCAGTCCTAGACTGTCCAGCAGGAAAGTAGAATCTTAGTTAGTCAGGGGCTGTAGCTCAGTGGAAGCACATTTGCCTGGTATAGTCTAGGCTCAGAACTCATCAGAAAAAGGAGAAAGATAAGGATTTTGTTTTCTGCTCACAATTAGACTTGAAATCCAGTCAGACACACACTCACGCACAATGAAAAAGTTGGAATTTGTCCTTTAACTGACAAGATAGTGTGATGTAAATAAACTTAGCTTCTATATTTTAAAGCTCTGTCTGAGGACTATTTCTTCAGTGAACTGTTTTCACTCTCCCAGGGTTACTTCCTGCTTGCAGTGTTAATGCCTCAACTTTTTATGTTGCCACACGAACCGCTTTACAATCCCAGAACATTACCTTGCTGACTGGCTTAAACCTCACGGCTGTCCTGGCTCCAATAGCATAACCTTTTTGTACTGGTCGGGACATGAGACAGGCTGTATGCTAAACCATTCCACTTCCGGTGGAAGGAAGAGAGGGAAGGGGGGGGGGGGGGTGGGGAGAAGAAAAAAATATCAGTAATACAATCATAAAGCAGCCTTCAAAGTGGAGTGAATTTAGAATGTTCCTATGTGAACTTCTTTGCAAGACATTATGGTTTTTTCTTGTCTTGATTCTTTTCTAGTTAAAACCATAGTGTTAAACACAAACAACAGGAGGGACTGTGCAAAGAAGTCTGGCTGGAGAGAGGAGTACATTGAATTTCTGTGAATTCCAGTGACTTCCATCTTCAGAGCCCCTGTAACAACTGAATTTGCGTTTATGGAAGAGGCAGCCCGAGGACTGAACTAAGCAGGAAGAAACTGACATCAGCTCAAAGGGATGCTGGAAGTAAAGATGGAGCAGGGATTGCATAAGGATACAGCTTGCGTTTGGTGGGGATGGAAAGGGGTGAACTATGGGCCTTTACACATTGGCTCTACAGCTGCTTGTGGACCAGGGCTCCTTCTCATGTTGGCACCCAGATAAAAAAAGGCACACATAGAGTAATTTTTCTGTCAGAACACTTGTGTATCCTTCCATAGGGTACTGAAGGGAGGTGAATACTCACATCTGCTGCCGTGTAACACCCCGGACCTGTGTGGGGCGATCCCCTGACAGGGAGAAACGTGTTCCCCAACCAGGTTGGGGGGGTGGTAGTGAGGAAAGAGTTTCCTCTTCTGACGTGTCCCAAAGGAGTAATCATCCACCTTCCCTAAAGATCAAGAGGAGAAACTCCAAGTGAGCACGAGGGTGGAGGGAAGCATCAGGGCTGGTCCGTAGGACGACCTGGCGGCCAACTCTTACGTAAACCTCGCTGCGTAACTCCACGGAGCGAGTGAGCGAGCTGTACTTTCTCCGTGTTCATCTCTCCTGGTCTTCTTACCCCTTTTTCTGCTGTCTGTTCTGTAGTCCTCTGCTACTCTTCTCATCTACTTTGCTGAAGCACATCGTGCACTACTAGGGTTCGCACTGTGTACTACGTTGCCAAGGGAACGGAGCGGCTGAGAGCCAGAGAGGTGGAGCATAATGCCCTGAGTGCGCATGAGCAGCGGATTGGCCCGCGCGCATCGGTCACTTCAGATCTAGGCTCTGAGGATATCTTAATTCATCCTCTGAACTGAGGGTGGGGCCTGCTAGACATAAAATAGAAGGGCTGAGTAGGTGAGAGGGTGTCAAACTGCTTCGGAAACATCCACGAGGAATGCAGTGCTGTAAAGGTAGGGGCATGGGATTCAGACCGCCTTAGGTCCGAACTACTGGTACCAGGGAAGCTGAAAAAACTCAGGAACTGTGTTGACAAGTGAGGAGGATGTGTAGTTGAACAATGACAGGAGCAGAGGATGCGGGCAAGGTTGAGCTGAAAGCTAGGACACTATCAGGTCCATCTTAGGCACATTTTTCTGAGAGAGAGAGAGAGAGAGAGAGAGAGAGAGATGAGAGAGAGAGAGAGAGAGGAGAGAGAGAGAGAGAGAGAGAGAGAGAGAGAGAGAGAGCAGAGAGAGAGACAGAGAGAGAGACAGAGAGAGAGACAGAGAGAGAGAGACAGAGAGAGAGAGGGAGGGAGGGAGACAGAGAGAGACAGAGACAGAGAGAGACAGAGAGACTGAGACAGAGGGAGAGAAGGAGAGACAGAGGGAGAGAGCTACATAGAGGCAAAGAAACAGAAAGAGACGTGTGTGTGTGTGTGTGTGTGTGTGTGTGTGTGTACAAGGGTGAGGAGGTAGGGGAGTGTAGGGGTGGGTATGGGTAACGGGCTTTCAAAGACTAGTGGCTCTCAGTGGAACAGTAAGAGTGCATTGGCACTGCAGAATTGCTTAATAATTAAAAAAATTCTTTAATTTCTAAGTCTCAGTGTCTTCATGATTCAATTGATAAGGTTGCTGAGAATTTTGAAGCAATGGAAACAAAACCATGTGGTGTCGGCTTCCTAGCGGTTGACAGTGCGAAAGGTTTGCATCACTGAAGATAAGAGCCAGCTAGCCTCTGAGTCCCCTAACATGAGGAAAAACGTCCGTGTTTGTCATTCACCTTTAAACTTGGTCCTGGGCAGAAACAAGGACTTGTTTTCGCTGTGTTGTAGACCAGCTTTAGGAGTTGTCCAGGTATGGGGGGTAAGGAGGCACACTGGCTGCTGCCTGCTGCTCTTTGTCTCTTTAAAGATGATCCTGCAGTGCACGTGTGCTTTAGGCTAACACTTTTTTCAGAGATAATTTTACAGATTTATTTAGTTTTTAAAAATTCATTTATTTTACTTTATTTTCTTTTTAGTGTGTGTGTGTGTGTGTGTGTGTGTGTGTGTGTGTGTGTGCGAGCACATCCAATTATATGCATGTGTGCCACTTGCATGCAGGTGTCTGTGGAGGCTAGAAGAAGGTGTCAGATCTCCTGGAACTTGTGGGCGCTGAGAACCCAATTTGGGCCCTCTGCAAGAGCAACAAATTGTTAGCCACTGAGCTATCTCTCCAGCCAAATTTTTTTTTTTTTTTTTTTTTTGGTTTTTCGAGACAGGGTTTTTTTTTTTTTTTTTTTAAGTGAAAGTTGGCCCCTTAGTGCAGATCTTTATTCCCAGCTACTTAGGAAGCTGAGGCAGGAGGATCACAGGTTCCAGGCCTTCTCTAGCTGCGGACTAAGTTCAGTCTGGGTAACTGAGACCTACTTCAAACTGAAAAATGAAAAGAGGGCTGGTGATATTGCTCAGAAGTAGAGAGATTGCCCAGAATGCATGAAGCCCTAGGTTCATTTCCCAAAGCTACAAAGTAAGTAAAATGATGCTATTTTGAAAGTTTACAAAAGCACACTTAACATATTTTATTTTTCAATCAACACAAAATTATGACTATTCATGTCTTCATATGCTGTTTCAGTATGTGCGTATACTGTGTGATATTAAAATCGGGGAGAACATCCATCTCCCCAAACATTTGTCATCTCCGTGTTGTAAACCTTCAAATTCCTGTCTTCTGGCTGGGGAGAGCATTTTTTACCTAAACATTATTGGAGTGACGCTCTTGGCCAGCGTGCCAGAATGCCTAAACATCCTGTAGTGCCCTGCCTAGTTACCCAGTGAATTGTTCTGTGTACTGCATAATGTCCAACTGTCCGTCTACAAACAACAGTTGGGAAAGAGCCAGGAGTGGTGGTGTACTCTGAGGCCAGCCTGAGTTACATGTGCTCCTGCTTCAGACAAAAACTTAAAAAACTGTCCGACTTTCTGTCGATCTATTATCTAGCAATGTGTCTATCATTTATTTATGTATCATCTATACATGTATCTGTATCTATCAATATATGTATGTTTGAATCTACCTACCTACCTACCTATCTTTAAACAAGAACTAATGAAGAAAACCCAGAATATGGGAGGTTGTTATAAGGAGCTAAGATTAAAAAAAATATTTTTGAGAATTTCATACATGCAGACAATAAAATCATATCTCCCCCATTTCCTTTTCCAACTCCCCCCATAATTCCACTTCACCTCCTTCCCAACTCTATAACTTTACATTTTTTGACAACTCATTAAGTCCATTATTGCTGCCTGTGTGTGTATGGATGGGGGCCATTCATTGGAGCATGGGGAACTACTAGTTGCCATAAGGGAGCTAAACTAAAATGGACTAAAAATTGGGTCTCAAAGTCATAGTATATAATTTACTTCAAGAATTTTATAAAAATATGACTATGGTACTACTAATGATAAGGAAAATATAAATATATATTGGTACTAATTTGATAATTTTCACTTCTATTATTGTTTTAGGAAGTACTAATATATTTAAAAATTTTTGAATATTTTTTTGTTTGTTTTTTTCAAGGCAGAGTTTCTCTGTGTAGTCCTGGCTGTCCTGGAACTTGCCCTGTAGACCAGGATGGCCTTACACTTAGAGATCTGCCTGCCTCTGCCTCCTAGTGCTGGGATTAAAGGTGTGTGTCACCACACCTGGGTAACATTTTTATTCTTAAGACAACTAGTTTTAAAACAATATTTTGATTTTGATCCACACAAATAGTACATAGTTATAAGGTACATTATGACACTTCAATACACTTATAGTATGTATAATGATCAAATCAGCAGCTTGCTTCTAAGATATTAAAAAATAAGAAAAAGCTTAGAATTTAAATATGTAAGAAAATACTATTATTCTAGTTTATAACAGAATGAAAAACACGAAAAGGTAACTCAAAACAGAAAAAGCCCAATTTCTTTTATTTTCTTAAATTTCTATAATGTGATTACATTGCTAAATACTTTGATTTTAAAATAAAAAGAGAAATAAAATTAAATCACTAATTTGATGTATAGCTCAGGCTTCAAAATTAGGTGGTTTATTTTAGAGTTCTGATCATGTACTAATTTGTAGGATTCCCTGTCTATAATAATCTGTTGTTTTTAATCCTTTTTCTATGAACAAATTATTTCCTGGCTAACTTACTATGTCACTTGATATTTTTAAAAAGCAACAATTTATACCTATAATACATATTAACAAAATGTAAGATGTCTTACAACATGAATATATATAACATATCCCTAAAATATGAATAAATAATAATAAAATTAACAGAAAATTAATATGTAGATCATAAAGATCTTATTTCTTTGTTGAGTCTCTGATCTGGCCTTAAACATGCTTGAAGGTAAAGTCAAAATTGAGGTCATACCCCCATCACAAATTTAGGGCAGTTATTCATGAAACAAACCCTTACAGCTGTTCATTATTGGCTTTGTTTATACGACAAAGTGTGATGTGGTAGAAAATTTTCTCAAAAGTTCTTGAGATAGCAAATCCATAAGAGCTTTTATCTATATCTGGTGGGGTGAATGTATATGTGGGGAGATATTTGTTATTTTCTTTTACCCAAGGAAAATCTGATAACACAGCACATTGTAGGCAAGTCTGTGCAAGATTTCAAGAACATAGCCAACACACAGGGAAGTTTGATGCTTTTCATGACTTAATACAAGGTAACAGCCCAGAGGAATTCTAAGAGAACAAGATGGACTGAATTATTTTTGTATAAAAATCATGTTTTTCCAGCAGTCTTTCAGCAAAGCTTCACTACTTCATTGTTAATATTCCTTTATTGACTCTGGGACTTTTAGCACTGACTTATCAAGTCCTTGAACACACTGTTTATAGGACATCTTTTAGCCGGGTGGTGGTGGCGCACACCTTTAATCCAGCACTTGGGAGGCAGAACCAGGCAGATCTTTGTGAGTTCGAGGCCAGTCTGGTCTACAGAGTGAGATCCAGGAAAGGTGCAAAGCTACACAGAGAAATCCTGTCTCAAAACAACAACAACAAAACAACAACAAAAACAAAAAAAAAAAGGATACCTTTAAACCTTCAACCTGTGTTTTAGGAAATATTCATATTTTCAATTTCTCATATTTTTGAGAATTCCATTTGCATCATTAGTGACATGAAACATATCTTGCAAAGTATGTTGAAAGTAGGCAGCTCATTGATACCCAGCACTAGTATAAGGCAGCCTAGTATAAGGCAGCCCGTCAATACCCAGCACTGGCAGGCTGGTATAGGCAGCCTGTCAACATCCAGCACTGGCAGGCTAGTATAGGCAGCCCATTGATATCCAGCATTGGTAGGCTAGTTTCCTTCCTGATAGCTAACTTGTTGATAGTAACAGTACAGGGCAGAAGACAATGGAACACTGTCTTCTAGTGCCCAAAGTAGCAAGACTCGAAGGATGGCATTCAAATTCCATAGGAAGGTCAACAAAAAGTGCATGGGTGGGTGGTAGTATCAGATGAAAGAAAGCCAGAGGCGTTGCAAAGATAGAGGTTATTTTCAGTCAACACAAAAGCCAGTGTTCCTAGAACCTGGGTCATTTCTGAATGTGTTTGCATCTACCTCACAACACAGCCTCAGAATATATTATGCAAAAGCTTGATGGAATAAAATACAAAGGAAACCACTCTATGTCCAGAATGGAAGACTTTAAAG